CGCTCCGCCACCGGGGATATAAAATATGCCCTGCTTTGTTAAGCAGGCTCTTCTCCAGTCCGCGCTGCAGTGGCATTGTGGACGTAAGGGAAGGTGAGAGTTAAAGCCGCAGACTCTTCTGGCTGTGCCCTGTCCTGTTTGGACTGTGATTGAATTTTCAATTACTACTTTTCTGCTGCTCTAGAATGTTAATGTAGTCAACAAATATTTTCCAGTCCTCTGTAAAAGGAGTGTACCTTGGCCAGGTAAGGAACGTCTTTCCGGTGTCTCTTTCCTTCTGAATGCAAAACAGAACCCTTTGCAGTGTAACAAAGGGCTGGTGAGAAGTGTTGAGAGGCGGGGAACGAGACAGACCTATTTTTAATAACGCAGCAGTTTTGAAACCGAATCAGAAGCCCACCTGTTTCTTCTTCTTAGAAGTGCCACAGAACAGAGCGAACACCTGAGCTATTCAGAAGGGTATTTTTAAGTCTTGTGAAAATGTATATGCAAAGTTTGGGCGCAGAATCGTGTTCTACTCCTGAATATTGCTGGCTGTAAATAACTCTTTACTCAAAAGATATATGCTGAAGAGAAAGCCGCTCAATCTCTGAACCAGTCATGTAATTATCCCCATTCAGAATCCGAATGCGTGCATCCACATGAAGGGCCACGTCTGTGTTATGCCGGATGGCTCATTTCAGCTTTGGTATATTCTGTAAGGGATAATTTAGAAATTCAAAGGAATAGAAAATTAAATATGGAATAATAATGAACTGATGCCAGGTCTCTAAATAAATACTTCCCCAGCGTCTAGTAAGTCTGTGGGTTTGCCACTGTCTGAAACGATCGTGGATTCTTAGTGCTTCTGTTTTCCCCCCAACACGAAGCATGTGCGCTCCCTCTCATCCCCCCTTCTGACTCGATTAATTGGTTTGAGTGAAAGCAGCCACCAGGCTCAGGAATGACTGGCAACCCCAGGATACAAAGCAATCACATAAATCTTGGTTCCATCGGACATTGGCCATGGTTTTAGGCATGCAAGGTTCCTGAATAAAACCGCGCTCGGGTTCCTACTCATCTGGATACCTCAAGGAGCTGTTTCAATTGATGGAAAACCATCCTAGGTGAATTTGGTAAAGGCGAAAGGTCTTTGGTATCAGTCGCTGGGAAGGGAGGGTTTCAGCTGGAGCGGAGTTAGGTAGCAGGGAGCCTGCACACCAGAGCATTCACAAAACCCCCAAATGTGGGAGAAATTTTGTTTTAAGCTCGTACTTTGTTTAACAACGCATCAATCAAGCAGAAGATATGGCTCTGCAGAAACCAGGCTTTGCTGAGCGGGGTGCTTGCAAGCTATTTGCTCAGTCTGTGTCCGGATAACTTCTGGTAGAATCGGCAAACCGGGAGATTGTGGCGTTACTCTGCAAGGCAGCACTTGCTGTGAGTTATGTTGAAAGTGCACAAGGGTGAATATTGAGCGTGTGTTCTGTAACCTGATAAATTGGATCTTGGCTTGTGAGCAAGCTCAGGTGCGGTACGAGGATGCGGGCAATGTCAGGAATTCATGGGAACTTCAGCTGCATCACTCTGCCGAGTGCGATGCTCTGGAAGTGCCGCGGGTTTAATTGAATTTTTCATTTCTTATGCGTAGATGGAAATTAGATGGCAGGGGGAAGACAGCGTCCCGCAGTTTGAATTACCTTAATGGTTCTCTGTTTGGCTTTTCTGCCTTAGCTCCTCCGAAAGCTGGTTGCCTTGCTTCGCTGCTTGCGTGTCCAAAGCCGCAGGCGGAGCAGGGTCAAGCTGCGGCTGGGACCGTGGCCGGG